TAGATTTTGCAGCAGTGCAACAGGAACCAAAAATCAGTCTGGGTAACTGAGAGTGGTTTTCACACCCAAAGACTCTAAGGCTGGCCACAGTGTACTGAGAACCATAGCTTTTCAAAATTCCAGGGCCATGAAGTCATCCCCAGCCACCAAGTTTACTTAACCCTTGCAGCCGGCTCGGGTGTATAAACCGCTGCCTGAAAAACTGGAACCAGCCAGGCCAGAGTCACAATGGCTTGTGTGTATTTGCGGTTTTCCTCTTTCCCAGTGAAGTATTTAGGGTTTCAAAGTCGCTCCACCAGCTTCAAGTAAAATAGTCAGCAATTTAAAAGGAAATGGGCAAAAGAAGTGGATTTTTCGGGAGGATTTTCTGGGTTCATACCAGGAAGGGTACTTGACAGCCTCAAGGCACACACCTGGAGGGAAACATGGTGCAAAATAAACAAGAGTGGGTGCTGACCCAGAGGGCTGATGAAGAGCACCATTTAGCAGCTCGTAGAGTGGGCGCTCTTTGAGGCAACTTTATGGGAGAGAGACCATCTGAAATGCTGCTGAAAGGCTTTGTCTGAAAACGCAGCATCATGTAAGAGCCATTTCAACAGATGGTTCCTGTCTCTTTCCTCACAGTATCACACTCAAACAAGGTTGGTGATTGCGAACCACAGTGTTAGCACAGGTCAACCACTCCCCCAAAGCAGAGAGGACGTCTCTGTCTCTCTGGCACAGTGTCTAGTAGTCTGAGTAGTGCTTCTCTCTCCCAGGGAAGAAAGTAATAAAAAACTAGACCAACTTTCAGATGGTCCTATCTCCTGAGGGAAAAGGAGGGTAAACAAACATCCATTTACTGTTATGCTATAGCACTTTCTTTGCTGCTAAAACAAATAAGACTCTCCTTGCCTTTCATGAACCCTAGATAATGCAAAAAACAGAAAAGAAAAAAAAAAAAAAGAAAGAAAAGGCAGGAGGTAAGGGTGAGAAGGGAATCAGTGGGAAACTCCAACAGCTCCATGCATCTAATTAATACAATAACCTTGTTGCCCACTCTCACCTCTGAATGTGTGAGGCTAAGCCAGCAGCTTTCTCTTGACTTTCTCTGCCATTGCCACCCTGTAGTAACAGGATTGTAAACAACAAACTTAGCACATCATTATTTCAGTGAATCCTCATGCGGAAATACTGAAATAGCATCTTCCTTCTCTATTAAATTTAAAAGGAGGAAAACTAATGACAGAAACTAACTGGAAAGGTGGGGAAAGAAATGTTTATATTAGCAAATTCAAAAATTGAATGCTAAAGAGGCCAGGATAAGGGAAAACTTTCAAGCCAAGGCCACCAGACTATATATTTGGTCATAGTTAGGTGTGGTTGGGGGACTGGGTGGGGCTGGAATTGATAAGAAGGTGTTAAGAAAAAATCAGCAACACAGTGAAGAAATTCTAATATACTGAGGCCATTGAAAACATCCAGGTAAAAGTCAAAATTACAGAAAGACTTAGAAGATCACTGACTGAGGGAGTGGGAGATAAATAGCAGTACAGGTGATTTTTAGGGAAGTGAACTATTCTGTATAATATTATAATAAGGCAGACATGTCATTATACGTTTGTCAAAACACATAACACAGAATTAAGCATAATGTAAACTATGGATTTTAGTTAATATAAAGTGGCAATATCAGCTCATCAGTTGTACCACACTAACAAAAGATGTTAATAGGGAAAACTGTTTAGCAGGTATATTGAAATTTTGTACTTTCTGTTAACTTAAAACCATAAAACTAAAACTGCTTTAAAATACTGTTTATTCATTTTTTTAAAACAAACCCATGGGGAAATTTAAGTGTCTTATTTTTGTTTGACCTGAAAATAGTTTTAATCTTTTTTAATACATTGGTAATCTAAAAGTTTATCAACTCTAACAAGAAAGAATCTATAATAATAAAAAGGTAATATGCTAATTAGACCGGATGTCATATGTCCTTCCTGATGAGGCCATGGCCAGAGGAGGGAAGCCAGCCCAGGTCCCTGGTGCCAGAAGGAAGCCGGGGCCGGCAGCCAGGGGGAGGAAGGCCTACTCTTGCATGAATTTTCATGCATTTGGGCCTCTAGTTATTTAATAAAAACACAGAATCTTTGGATTCTCTTTAGTTCTATAATGCAGGTATAGGAGAAGTCATGACAAAATATCTGCAGTCAGCTAGCTGATTATAACAAAGTAAAAAGAGCAAGTTTCTTAACCTCTTAGAGTATCATGGTCTCCTGCATCTGTAACAAGGGACAATAACAGTGACCATGGGAGGAATGAATGAGATAATGTTTACAAATTGCCTAGACAATTCCTGGTACATGGTGTATGCTTGGTAAATTCTCACTGCTATAATTGTTCATATTAGTGCTGTATCATGTTCTTAACAGCACTAACATTATACATTCAATCAACTTATTTGCCACTTAGCTTATTTCTATTTCAAAGTTGCAGAATGCACCCAGCCCCACTCATGTGTAAAAAGTGTCTGCAGCACTTCTGATGCAGATGCTTAGCTCTTCTAGCCTGGGCAAGAGGTCAGCACTGTGAGGAGTGGTTAAAGATTTTGACTCCTTCATGTGGCTTGAGTGTTAAGTCTTCCAGAAAGGTGTGTGGGTGATGAAACCTGAGCTGGGGGATCCTCACTCCAACCACCAAGGCAACCTTGAGACATACACCCTGACAAACCTGGATTAAAGATCTATAATAGGGAGGGGGCTCTGGATGGCAGTTTGGCCTGAAGCCATGGTTTAGCTGACACAGCCCAGTCCCACTCTTGCCAAACAGATTCAGTCAGCATGAGGCCATGTGTGAGTGAGTCCTAGAGCGATTACACAGCAGTGTGCAGAATCAGAAAGCATTCAAGAGCCGAAGGCCGCTCACCATGCCAGGCATCAGCAACACAAGCCCCTAAGCAGTGACAGGAAACAAAACCAGGTCCCTCTGCAAATTCAATCTGAGGTCCAGCCGTACCCTCTGGCAGTCGTGAAGGCAGTTTTAGAATTCATTTGGCAACCACGCCATCACACACTGCATGGAGGTCCAATCAAGCTTGGAACTGATAAGCCCTGGGATATAAGACCTTAAAGGGATATGCAGGAAGAAGAACGAGATTCTGAGGATGGTTCTGAGCAGCGTGAGCCTTCTCATACAACCCCAGGCCTCAGCCACTGATGATAATGAAGATTAAATGTAAGCATTACAGCAGCCAGGGTAGATTAAAAAGGTCTAGTCCTCCGATTTTAGAGTTCAAAGGATTTTCACTTGGGGCTGTTTGGACTGTAATAAGGGCTCCATCAATGTACTTCTTTAATGCCACAATGACAGTTACACTCTGGTATATTATATTTATTATTAAAATTATAAGAAAAATGTGAGCTAGTGATTTTTAGGAGTCCTAAAATGTGTGTGTGTGTGTGTGTGTGTGTGTGTGTGTAAACAAACATACACACAAATGCATCCTTATTTGTCTGTCAAATAACTGGCTAGTTAGCTATGCTGGGGCAGCATATATCCTCCAAATTAACAAAGCAACCTAGTCTCTACTTCACTGGGTGCTACTTTAAGCATAGTTCATACTATGACAGAAACATCTCCCTTCCACCTCACAACATGCTGCTCTTGACTTATTCCTTAGGTTTCCACTCTCCTCCCCCCACAATACCTGGGCACTCCTGCATCAACCAAGGGTCCCTGACTACCAGAATTCTAATATCCATAGTTACTTTCCTTCTGTTTTCCATATAGCCTCGCACTGTAGAGTTCAAGTTCCCTTGGGCCTTGATTCTAGCATTAAACAAACTTAGCTTAAGCATTTACCTGCTGTTTGACTTTGGGTAAATGACTTTAATAGACCTATAATATAACTCATTTGTAAAAATGAGAGTGATTTCTTATCTGACATGTTTATTGTAAGGATTAACTTATGCTACTTACATGAAGACCTAGCACAGTGCCTGGCAGATAGTGAATACTCAAAAGTCACTCTCTGTCTGACCCTCTACCCCTGCCCCTCTGCCCCCACCATGTCTCCCATTTTTGAATTTTTAAGAGCCCTCGAGCCTTAAGAAATAAGAACAGACAGAATCCAAACTGTGAGATCAAGATGGCTTGGCTTGCTTGACCTGACATCTTGTCATGAGATTGACTGGTTTGCTTGGTCAATCTTCTGAGATAGTAACACAGGGAATGGGAGGTGGGGCATGACTTGAAAATAAAATATTTTTTTTTACTTTACCTCATCCCACAAATGATTTATTTCAACTTGAAATCAATTTTGACAATGTATATTTTATCTACAAGTGATATTTTGAAGTAGGAGGGGGATAAAAATTGTAATGTTTGGTATATGTTTTTTCGTTCTGTTACTAGGAGCTCAAACATCATAGTCATTATAGGTATGCTTTTAAATAAAAAGAAAAATGTGTTTTTAGGGGAAAGCAATAGAGATGGGGGGATAGAGAGAAAGAGTCCTATACCTTCTTCTTGAACTGTCTGGATTATTTCATAGCAAAAATACAATCAATGGCCTTTTGATCAATGGAACAGGGTAGTGACAGGTACGCTTAATTCACTGTTGTTGTTGATTATTGACAAGCTGGTAATGATCATGCTATCCTGTGTCACTCCTGCTGAGGGCATTAGCATTTTTTAAAGGTCAAAACCAATATTTTTTTAATTGCAGAATTTTTAGAAATCAGGGAAACCTCAGGATTTTCAAAAACCAGTTTCACACTATAAACTAAGGAATATGTGAAACACTCAGGATTTCAGTTCTTTCCATATGTTTCACATTAAAATGACATCAAATTTTCCTGATTTAAATTCTTGGCTCTTAAATAAACTGTGTGGCAAAAGTCTTCCAATGGGTGAATGAAAAGGGGATTCTGAAAGCTATTTGTGTCTTCAGGAGGCTGAGGCAGAAAGTAAGCACAAACCAAAGGCAAATCCGTACCAAATCAAAGCAAAATTATACTTACTCTGTGACACTCTTACTAGCTCAGTCACACTAAAAACACCTGATGTGACAAAACTGTCCTGGAAGCCCAAATGTCCTGAGGAAACAAAAACAAAAAAAAAACCAAGTGTCATAAATAGAAGATATTTGATAACAGAAGTCTAAACATGAGTTTCATTGTGATTAAAAAATATGATGTCTACTTTCATATTCTGCTCTGGTTAGAGTTTCCATGGGAGGGTATAGTCATTTGGTTATGTAGTGGTTTTTTTTTTTTTGTTTGAATCTGGAGGTTATGGAAAGCTATGACACAACAACTGGGTGCTTTCTGAAATAGTAAAAAAAAAAAAAAATAATAACCTCAACAGGAAATCTGAAACAAAAGACAATTTAAAATAAATGGTTACCTTGGCTGACCTCTGAGACCATAACAACTGGGATGAAAACACCCTACCTACAAGTCAGCCCGGATAGCTAAATTCCATAACAGTTTTAAACATGATTTTCTAAAGAAACATTTGATGGGGATTAGCTATCAATTCATTCAAACCAAACAAGATTTAAAGATGTTTACTTCATTCCTAGAGGAACTACAATGCAAATCTTTAAAAAGCTAGCCTAGAAGAAGTAAATCCCTTAAAAACTATTGAAACATGAAAATAAATTCTTTGAGCACAGACAAAATTTAAATTTGTTTCAAGAACAAGAATTTTTTGTAGTAAGATTGATTCTGTTTTTTTTTTTTTTTTAAGAAAAGATAAATTAATAGTATAAAATTAACCTTTGAATTTTGTATCTGTTTTATTTTTTTCTGGATGATTTGTTTTCTTTGTGATATCTGCTTATTCATTTTTATAGTATGTTTAGAAACACAGGGACAAAAATATAAATGGCAAGGAATACTAGAAGATAATTGATGATATGTCATTTCCCTCTCTGCCTCTAAAGTCTTCTCATTCTGTGAGCCTCACATAAGTAAACCTAATTGAGAGATCTGTCTATTGAGTTAATGTAACCACCTGCTTTAAAATTAGGGCCAAAGGAGAAGTTAATGGCTAAGGGGAATTTTTTAAAATAACTGTTCTTTGAAATAAGGAAAACACCTTTAAAAAAATACAACATAAGAAAAAAGACCAATCTGAATATGCCCACTACATAGGGGAGACAAGTTTACTTATGGCACATTTTACACAACAAAACATTGTTAAGTGTCATAGACATAAATACATGCAAAAATTGTCATGTTTTGAATTATAAATGTGACTACAAATTATTCTTTTCCCTTTGGTTAATATTTGGTTTCGGCATAAGAAAGATAATTTTTAAACTTAGTTTTAAAAAAGTTCAGTTTTTAAGATCAAATACTCAATCTCTGAAATTATGGGTAAATAGCTCTAAGTTTTAGGATATCTGATAATCATAAACTTTTTGGTAAAGTAAAAATAGCACCATGTATGTGATGGATGTTAACTAGAATTACTATGGGGCGGGGTCATTTCACAATATATCTATATAGTGAATCATGTACACCTGAAACTAATGTAATGTTATATGTCAATATCTCAAAAAATACTATAAAAAAGAAAAACTGTATATACACCACAACTTAAAAAATGACAAAATTTTATTCAAAGAGTTGGTTAAGAAAATTCACCTCCCAAGGTACCCATACCTAGGTAAGTAGTTGACTGTTATTTGGGAAGGGCCTAAGGTGGTGTCTCTTGGATTAAGAGAACTGAGAAGTAAAAATAGATAAATCAATAAAAGTTCTCTACATGGTCTTGGCAAAATAGGCTCTGCTACCTATTTCTATTGTCACAGTATTCAGATCACATTGATCCTCCAGATCATAACAAATGAAATCCAACCACTAAGTACATTAAGTTTAACTTAAAACACATATAACAATGCAAGGAAATGCATAGTGGAATAGGAAAATCTGGGTTGAGCTCCAGCTCTTGCTCATCTCTGTCTTTGTCACCTGCCTGTGGACTGATACTTGTTTCAGTTACAACCTTTTAAATCTCTTATTTTAAGGACAACTTAACATGAATTTTCTATACAGAATGTAAACACACATACATTAATCCTGCTACCAAAAAAAAAAAAAAAAAAGCAAGCAATATAACAAAATTAAGTTTAGTTTGTCACAGAGCGTGGGAGGGGGTAACCCCTGTGTTCATCCATTGAAACTCATCCTGTTTTCATTGCCTTTTTTCTTCTGTCTACCTCTTAAATGCTGGTGTTCTCCAGAGTTCATGCTCATCCCTCCACATTATGTATATTTTTTGCCCTAAGTTTATCTTCTCTATTTCCATGATATCAGCTACCAGGCTTGACTGTGATATTTGTGAAAGCTAGAATAATATTTGTTTCCCTCTCCACTGTATTTAATGCCTGGGACAAAGCAGTTAGAATTTATTGAATGAGTGGAGGATTGAATCTATTAGCCAATGACTCTTAAATCTTTATCTTTTGCCTTCATTGCTCTCCTGAATTCCTAACACATGAATCAAAATGTTTATTGCATATTTCTATCTAAATAGCTCACGGGTAACCCCAGATCCAACATGTCCAAAGCTGAGCTCATTTTCTTCTCCCCGAAACCTGTTTATACTCTTTTGACTTTGCTATGTCAATGAACCATCCACCATTCATCTGCTTTTCTCTTTTGGTGTCATCCCTGCTCCTGCTTCTTACAAACACCCACATCCACCTAATCCCCATGGATTCTATTTCTTACTATTTCTTGATTCCAGATACAACTCTGTCTCCCTGGTATGATTTTGGCTAAGGCTTTTGCCAATTCTCACCAGCCTTCTAACTATGTTATTCATCATCAGCCTTGGCTTCTCTTGTCTCACTAACAGGCAAATCCGATGATTCATTAATTTATTCAACGAATATGTATTGAGCCCTACCATGGGCCAGGTGTACACCCAGAGGTTTGAGATATAGTCCTACTTTAAGGAAATTAGAGTCTATGATTACAGGCAGCTGACAATGTAAAAGAAACAAATTATTTTAAAAATTATAAATGGTATAAAGGAAACAAATAGGAAACTCTTTAGAAATAATAGTTAAGAAAGATCTCTCTTAAGAGCTGACATCTGAAAGAAACTAAAGAGACAGCCAGGAAAAAATGGGGCGAAAGCTCTTCAAGCAGAGGAATTAGCATGTACAAAGGCCCTGAGGTAGGAAAGAATGAGGTGTTGGAGCAAGCATGTCAAGCTTGTGGCTGTCGATGCTCCACGAGTTTGACATGCTTGTTTTGTAGAATCCAAGTAAAACCCAAGTGTTCAGCAATCACTACCCTGTCAGAAATCTTGCAAGAGCTTCACAAAGAGTTCAGGGTATAGTAACAAACTCCTTCACATGGACTATGGCCTCCATGTAGCTTCTGTTTTCCTCTCTGGTCTTAATTTTATCTTTTGTTTCTTGCTTCCAGCCCTACTCCTTGGCCTAAGTGAACACATGTGCCTCCTGGGCCCTGGTTCAGCCCCTGACCTCACTCTGCTCCTTCTTTCTGGACTTCCTATCCTTCTTCCTCTTTGTTTGGCCAACTCCTACTTGTCTTTAGGACTCAGCTTTATTGTCAAAGGCCTTCCCTGGTTACCTCACTGCTGGAGAAGACTCCTTTTCTCTTTTTGGGATATGGACCTGATGTACTATGTGTGGTTCTAATCTAGGACTTAGGACACTAAATTGCAGTTTTGTCTTTTTCTCATACTAGATTGTGAGCCCTTTGAGAAAGAGCATCGTCTGTATCTCCAGCACTCCAAGTCCTAGTATAGTGTCTGGTATCCAGTGAGCACTCCAGAGATGCCTCTGAATAAACACAACTCAGATCAGGTTCAAGTATGTGAATTTTCCTCTTTATAAAAGTGTAAACAGAATTTTTTCCCCCTGTCTCTTTCTCTCTCTCAGCTCAGTGTGAGATCAAGCCAGTGTGCATCTGAAAACTATTAAAATGAACCATCCAAAGAGTCCCTCCAAAAGAAATAGGATAAGGACAGGATAGACAAGTCCTTTAGATGAAGCTTCTGATCAAGAAGGTGCCATCAGGTTCTTTGAGGAGAAATGTCTGGTGTTGTCCTATTATTGAGATTATGGTACAAATTTCGGGAAACCAAGGAAAAACAGAGTTGAAGGGCAGCATTATTTAATAAACATAAGAGAGAGAAAAACCCAACTACAAAACAATTTAGTCTGAAGCTTAAAGTAGGATCTTGTGTGATCCTGAGAAAGTCACTGCCAAAATAATAATTTGATCCTCCTTTCCCAACTAGCAACCTTCCTCAAAGGCTTATTTTAGGAGAATGTGTGTAATTTAGAAGGTAAAATATATATGAATGTACAATAACCAGAAAAATAAAAATAGAGAGAATTTATTTCACAAGTCCTGATAGAATCATCTCTGCACAGTATTATGAGATTATCATAGGGCCTTGACTACTTTAACTTCACAATATGTCCTCAGGGAAAGGTCTGTGTAAACATGCCATAAACATGAATGACTATGAAACTAGTTTTGTTCCTTCACCAATTATTTAGAAACCCACTGATCCAGTGGAAGACAGCCACGAAAAATGAAACCTAAGAAATGATGGAAAAAATGACACAGCTAATGTAATTACTAAGCGAACCTGAGCAGATTAATATTTTGTTCTCACTAACACAAACCAAGTCATAAAAATGACTTTCGGGGAAATAACACTAATCTGGGAGATCTGCTTTATGGCAAAATGAGAGGAAAATGGAAAAATATATAAAAAGGTGAATTTAAGTAATTCTGAATTGAGGTGTTAGCATGAAAAGATCTTCAGTTGAAGAGCTGATTAAACATTCCCTAAAAGTTCCACAATTTACATTTTGAATAGGGTCTCTCAGAAACGAGTGCAAAACATATATTTTTGTTAAGCACATCATAGATGGAAAGCCGGATTGCGAAATGATCGACTCTCCAATTCTGAACGAGTGTTCAGGAGCAATTCAGAGGAGACTGAAATAAGGAGCACATCCTTTTTCGTTTTATATAAAATGGCTAAAAAAGTTCATTCACTGAGGTCTTGTTCAGTGAATTCCCAATTAGAGTGG